CCTACTTTGGGTGTGTACAAGTAGGCACTTAAACTTGTATACAAGTAGACATACATCCTGCGCTACATAATACATGTAGGACGCTACATAGGACACAAAATTGTCATGTAGGACTCCATGTAGGATGAATGTGTCTATATGTTCAATTTTATACAAGTTTAAGTGTTTACTTGTGCACACTCAAAGTTAAAGGGGATAAATATCAGCTAAAACCAAGTTAAAGGGCATATTTATGTATTATGCCTTTTTATTATGTATTACCTCAATCCCTCTGTCCCAATTTATGTGACACATTTCGTTTTTCGAGAGTGAAACGGTTTTGACCGAGAATTATTGTTCATGGAATCTTCAAAAAAATTTAAATGAAATTTATATATTTGTAAACTACGTAAAAATACTATTCATTATTCAAAATATTTAAACGATATATGAAAACTTACAGTCAAAGATAGACTTGTTCAAATTTCGAAATCTGAAATGTGTCATATAAATTAAGACAGAGAGAGTATATGTCGGCATGAGATGAATTCAAACAATGAAACAACAATAATGTGATTTCATTTAGTTGATCACAACTTATTAGAGACTGAGACGTAATTATTATTGTTACAGGAAGAGAATCATAGACGTGTGGAAAAGGAATGGGGAAGATGGAAATATGTATGTCACATATTTGAATATGAGTCATCAAAGAAAGGAGTTTTCCAAATAGGGGGATTGACAGCAAGCATTTTGATTCATGCTGCATCAATCATTTATCAAACACCTCCTTCTTTTGCTGAATATCTTCCTGATTTTAGTCAATTGCAATTCACCCTAAACATGAATTAAGCACTTGGTAATTGACATATTTTATTTTAGCTTTCTTATGAAAAATAAGTTACTTATTGATCATGTATAAGTCTAAGAGATGATGATTTATAGACTATAAGTTTCAAAAGTAGTCATCAATAGCAAAGTTGATGATGTTATGAACTTTACTACTTATATACTTATAAAAGAAGAAAGGATCACATGGTCCAAGGAATTTATTATGAAAATTATTTGTGGAAATTTCATGGGTTAGTCAATTTTGGACCCTGTAGTAATATAAGTTTGTTTATCTCATTAATATGTATTATCATTTGAAATGTTAGAGAAATAATAGTTGTTTTTCGTTAACAGTTAAAAGTCAAAATATTATTATTGGACTTCAACTCCACGTAAATTACATGGACGTTCAAGTAATATAGTGATTATAGTGAAGTGTCGTATTTAGTGGCGCAGAGCTAGAATTTTTATTAATGTGTCAAAATTTAAAATAATAAGCACACAAAAAATGAAATAAAAATGCTAAAGTAAAAAACCTTGAGCCAGGTTTAAACACTTGACCTACCAATAGTTGAGAGCTTTTGCAACACCTCAACCATTGTTATAACTCTTCACCTTGTTTCAAGAGGTGTCAATAGAAATATATATATATATATATAACATAATTTTCCTATAAAGGAATATCACTTTATACTCCTCGAACAAGATAGCTCCGCCCCTACTAGTACCATAGGAATTTATTATACTATATATTCAACCCGAAATGAATTCTTTACTCAAGAATTTTTTTTTCAAGAGTTTTGAATGTTTTGCTCAACTATGCTTAATCTACAATATTTTTTCTCAATTGTCATGCTCAATTGTAGATGTGTAAATAGATATCCTATTGTTAATTGTATAATAAAGTAATTACAAATAATATGAAGTGAATAACACATACAATATAATCGGAATAATCAGTCAACAATGAGGTGAAAATAAAGAAACTAGATGAATCTCGTGCTCCCATATCGCTCCAATGCGTTCTTGCTCTCTCCAAAGATGTATAATCCTTCAAAAATGAGTTCTTAAGCATATAATTATTTTATACCTCATTTGTGCAATCAATCTATTGAATAATAACAACTGAATAAATAATAATAGACTAACCGATTTTAAGTATCATAAGTTGAAAAAAGACTTAAACATTAAAAAAGTTAATAATCCGATCCATGTACCTCTTATGGTTTAAACCTAGTCTGGCCCAGTACCAATATCCTAATTTCAAAAAGGGGAAATTATGCAATTAAACAAATTTATATTACTTAATTACTCATCATAGCTATAGTTTGCTATAATTACCACTCGCGACTAACATTATACATTAATTATGTGGATTGACTTCGAGTTTGTATAATTACCACGTTTGTGTATATATTATTTGCCAGAATATACAAATACATATTTATAATATACAATTATTTAACCGATATACATATACAATTCACCTCTCTCCCACTCTCTGCCCTCTCTCGCTCTCCTCCCTCTCCCAATCTCGTTCGCTTCTCTCCTCCCTCTCCCAATCTCCCTTGCCTTATATACAAATGCATATGTGTAATATGCAATTATCTAACCGATATACATATACAATTCATCTCTCTCCCACTCTCTGCCCTCTCTCTCTCTCCTCCCTGTCCCAATCTCGCTCGCCTCTCTCCTCCCTCTCCCAATCTCGCTCGCCTCTCTCCTCCCTCTCCCAATCTCGTTCGCTTCTCTCCTCCCTCTCCCAATCTCGCTTGTCATATATACAAATGCATATATATAATATACAATTATCTAACCGATATACATATACAATTCACCTCTCTCCCACTCTCTCCCCTCTCTCGCTCACCTCTCTCTCCCAGTCTCGCTCGCCTCTCTCCTCCCCATAACATGTAGCTACAAATTGTAATTATCAAACTATAGCTATGGAGAGTAATTAGGCTATTTTTGAGTGGCTATATGTAAAAGTTCCTCTTTCAAAAAATTCTACTGGATCGGATTGATTCTGTCCAGCCCACATAATAGGCTTACCAATTTGTTAAAAGAGAAAATTACTAATTTTATTTTATTTTTACACAATAAATTTATTATTTTATTTTTTAGATTTAAATATTTTAAATATATGGGATGACCCAATATTAAGATTTTAAATTATTAAAAATTGTATTTTAGAACAAATAAAAGAATTAACTAATTAGTAACGAAATCAATTTAATTAAATAGGGGTTAAGAGTATTCTTAGACCAAAAAGATGAAAGGAGGGATATCTTTGAACCATGAACAAAGGTAAGAGGTATTTTTAGACTAAAAGGTGGAAGGAGTGTATTTTTGAGCCATTTCCAATAGGTTAGGAATATTCTTGGCCATTTTCCCGAATAACAATAAATCCTATACAATTATTATTTTTTCTATATAAAGACCACATATATATAGATTCTATCTCTTAGGATCCATGGCAACTTAGGATTCTCCTGCTGTGATTCTATTATTTTTTCCATACAAATAAGTAAATAATTAATACACAATATTGAATTGGTTTCTATGCCTATTATTTTTGGATGTCTTTTGAATTTTTTTTGTCTATTATTTTGATTTGTTTTTTTTTACTATTTTCTTGGATCAAGTCTATTTTAGTTGGAAAAAGATTCTCAAAGTTTCTTACAGATATAGTCAATATCTAATATCATTAAAATAATAATATAATAACTGAAGAAAAATAGTGAAAACACAATTTTGTCTAAAGAGAAATTTTGTAATGAAAGTCAAAAGTTCCATCAACATTATTAAGAATCTTCATAATTTTAATATAATATAGACTGTTGATAAGATAAATTAAAAAATATAATATAACTTTGTTTAATATTTTAAAACTTTAAATTAAATTATTTAAAGCTTATAATCTACCAATAAGAATTTTAAAAACAAAAATCAAGGTATGTTATTAGAACAATTGGTCTTACAATTCTTCCATATTTCTTGTAACTTCGAGTATTTTGGACTTTGGTTAGGAATATTAAAGATCGCAACCTTATTTTTTTGTACTTCCCCTCATCTTCTTTTAAAACCCCTCATCTTCATTTTGTTTAAAGAGCTCACTTTGCCTAATAAACAATCTTTTCTTTTTGTTCAAATGTCTCACTTTGCCTAATAAACAATTAGGCTACAATTTTATGTGTCTTGAACATTTTTGGTTAGGAATATTAAAGTTGTGACTTAAGTTGACACATATATATGATCTTATATATATAAGATGTTTATAAAATATATATATAAGGTGTTTAGAAAAATAAAAATAAAAGCAAAAATAGAAATGCAATACGAATTTCTACATGTTTCTTATTTACGAAAAATATATTTAAATTATGAAAACTCACACAATCAATTGTAAAAACTACATTAGTTGTATACATTTTCACAATACATTGGGTTATTTATGTGATGAAACAGATTTCCTAATTCGCCATTGAAGAGGAGAGTACTCACTCTCCTTGGCGCTTTCCCAAAAGAGGGACTTTTTGGTCAATAATTAATTGAAGAACAATAAGTCGCCCAAGAACATGGACAAGCTTGGTTTTTGATCAAAAAACAATAAACCTTTCAGAAAAAAGAGAATAAAGGGAAACCAGATCTCTCAAAAGAATAATTAAAAAAAAATATAAAAAAAATAAAGGGAAACATCAGATCTCTCAAAAGAACAAAAATAATAAAAAAATAAGAACAAAAATAAGTTGTTCCTGTTCCTCTCTCTCCTTCAAAGAGAGATATTATCAAAATTGTAATCTTTAAATAGAATTTTTTAATGAAGCACAAAAGTTAATAGATATAGATATTGTATAAAATGTTTATTAAGACATGCTTCTAATAACATTTTGTTGAAGTTGTTTTCATGTATGAAAAAGTTAGTAATCCACTCCATCACATTATTTTCATTTTTCCATCACAATATTTTCATTTGTTTAATGTGACACATACGTTGAAATACAACAAAAACAAAAACAAAAAATGCCGCTTACCCATAATTTTTGTCTTAGCCACAATTCTCCCTTGACCAAACCTCACTTATTTTATTTTTTTTACTTTTCGATTTATTTATATAAAAAACTATATTTACCATATACTATGCCGCATAATACAAATTGTAGCAGGTAGGAATCAAGGATGCAGCATTTTCCAAACACAATAAGAAGTTGAACAAATTAAACTACGATGGTGATCTCATGTATATATGTCACTTGTTGTAATTGTTTATTACACTAGCTACTTCAACTTTTCTTGTCATAAAGTTGCATGAAAATATTTGGAAAATCATAGATTTAAAATATTGCAGTCAAAACAGCCTCTCCAAGAACATGACCCTCCACAGCTTCTAGTAGTTTATCCTTTGTCACCTGTCAATCATCCAACAAACCACATTACATTAATAATCGAAATATCAATGAAGTTAGTGAATTCTGTTGAACCTATAATTACAGCTTAGCTATGACCCCGTTATGTGTGTAGGGGTATGTGAATCCAACCACTTAGGTTCTTGGATATTGAACTTTCCAAATTATGGAGTCAAAAACTTTGATGTGTTCTTTGAAAATTCTAGAGATCATAATATATCATATATACATGTGTCAAAATGTGGAACCTTATCATGAAAGTTGAAGGGCAAACCACATAAATCTCACTAGTTTAGGTCTTAATTATTAAGATTCTCAATAGTTTAGGTCTTAATTATTAAGATTCTCACTAGTTTCAAATATTACTTCCTGTACCATAGTTTATGCTTAGGATACATGAGTCTGAATCCATGAGATACATGCAGTATCTGTCGAATTTTTAAAATTGAGATACAAAATTTATTTATTTAAATTAATTGGTTGGAACTGATTTCCTTAATTAGAGGAGTAATTGAGGATTTTCAAAATACATAGATAATTAATTTCATTTTATTATTCTTTGAAATAGTAAATTCATTAATATTATTAATATAAGATAAAAACATGTATATCTTGATAATGCAATTTGATTAATTTCAAATTATTACTCTTAAAATAATAAATTCATTAATTTGATGTATCTATATCAATATATGATGTATCCAACAAACTAAACACTTAGATACATGAGTGTCCTGCAAGTACATTCATATGTATCATAGAAGTATCTAGCATTAATTTCATGTATTTGTTATAGGTATCTAGTATTAATTTTATGTATCTATTTACATATATATATATATATATATAATATTAATTTCAATGTATCTTTTCTATGTATCTAGTACTAATTTGTTGTATTAAGTATCAATTGCATATGTTATATCCAAAAACATGTATCTCGAATACATAATAAGCATATACATTTAATTATGTGTATCTAAATATGAAATGTAGTTGAATCACATGAATTTAGGAACAAATCACGACTGTAGAGTATCTGTCATATCATTAATATCATCGTGTTGTTAAAAATCATGTATCCAAAATTTAATGGTGGATACATATACATGGTCAGACACCCCATTACTAAAAATACAACTCAGATCTTAATTAAGATTACTACTTATTGGATACACATGTTTCAAGGGCTATATCAAAGTAATATTGGTACTACCAAATCCATGTCACGGTAACCAAAGAAAGCCTTAGAAAAACACCAGCAAACAAAAACTCTCTACAATACTCCCTTTGATCCTTTTGTGTTGTGGCATAACATAATCAAAACAAAGATCCATTTCTTCCGGAGAAGAACAATCAAGACCCACTCTGAATTAAAATCTTCTCTGTAGTTGTTACTTTGATTTGATCTAGTTATAAATGAACAATACAGAATAATATTTGGGTTCAGGAGAATTTGTCGGCCATGATGATGATATCTTGAGAAGAAGAGAAGATTAACTATTGTTGGAATGAAATTGTACTATGAAATTCCTAAATCATAAAGGAGGCATAATTGAGTGCTAAATATGGGAAGGGAGAATTAAGAGATAGTGGTTGATTTGGAGTGAAAGAGTTAATTAAGCAGATAATTAATCAATCCTAATTTTAAGGTATGTGGATATCTAATAATCTAATTGTATCTTCAAATAATATATTAATATATGGTATAAAATATTAAAAGTGGTAATATATGTAATTGTTTGAAAGTAAAGATAATATTAGTATATATATATATATAGTAGTGATGTATGTCTAATAAAGTAGTTTATCCAAAGTTGAATCATGTTGGATGACTTATTGACTTATTTCAAGTGCTTTTAAACTAAAATAATTTTTAAGCACTTTTAAAGTGGTTGAATAAATTAAAAAGGGACTTAATACACACTTAATTTTAAGTCAATCCAAACACACACTTACTAATATAAATTACCATTAATCAAAGATGAAAAAATAAATCCAAATATACCCTTAATATAATTACTTCCTAATCCAAAATCTCTATTTTCGTTTGTGCATCTTTTTTTCGTTTTTAGTCTTCTAAAAAATTATTATACAAAAAAAATACTATACATCTCAATAATTAACAAATTTCAAAATATACCTTGTTTCCAAGTTTGAGCTCATCATCCAAAGCAAAAAGCTTAAACTCAAATCTATGACCATGATTTGGCAACTTAGGTCCACGCCATCCCGGGACTTTCTCATCATTAAGTCCTTCTTTAACATGACCATAATCTCCACCTAATTCATCACCTTTACCAGAAAATCCTTCCGGCAAACCCTTTAAACTTGGTGGAATATTAGTCACAACCCAAATAACCCATGGTACAATAGGTGCATCAATATCTTGCACTACTAGTGACAAACTTTTAGTGTCTTGTGGTAAATTGTACCATTATAATGGTGGTGACATATTTCTTTGTGCACCTTGACCTTCAAGTGTGTATTTTCTAGGTAATTTTCCTTCATGATTTATGTTTGGTGATACTAGTCTAAACTCATCACTTGCAGTTGCCCTTTTTTGTGTGAAGTTGTTTGATTTTGGATTTGTATGGATGAGGGGGGAACATAAATAAGGAATTTGATGACATTTGTCCTAATTACAAAGTTTGTGTATGAGATGTTACACGTTGTGTCATACGTGTTTTTAAGTCATTTATATTTAGTTGACACTTCTCGAGCCATCACTAGAGTTTCTCAATTATTCTTTTTATTTATACCTTCTTCTCGAAGAGGTAGGGGAAAAAGTGGGGAAAAAAAAGAGATTTTTATCTTTTCCATTATTAATAGTGATAGATTGAACAGGTTAGTGATAGTTTCCGAAATAAGAGGAAAAAATAACCGATGCTATAAATATAATATTTACAACGAGGTTCGAATTTTGAACGCAAGGGACAATTTGAAAGGCAATTATTATGCGCTACACTTTGTTGTTTGTTAGAGGCAGTGGCGGATTCAGAATTTTCACGAAGTGGGTTTAAGATATAAAAAATAAAATTAAAATGTGGCAATAGGAATTCAAACTCGGGTTGGCTGGGAAACTTAAACCCTCTTTACCACTCTGCCAAGGGTCACACTTGTGTTAGTGGGGTCAAAAGTTAATATATACATATAAAATTTTAAAAACTGATAAAATATACATATACATACGGTGTTATTTTTCAACGAAGTGGGTTCATAGAAACCCACTTGACCCATTGTAGGTCCGCCCCTGATTAGAGGATCAAAACTAATATATGTATATGTATACGAAAAATTTAGGGATAAGGGTCTGAAAAATACCTCAACTTTGGTCGGATTTGCTGTTGCGATACTAAACTTTCATGAGGACCTATTACCTCCCTAGACTATTTAATACCGTATTTTAAACATATATATTTGCCCACGTGGACATAAAAAATAATGCAAAATTATAAATAGTAATGTGTCCACGTGGGCATATATATACATTTAAAATACACTATTAAATAGTTCAGGGGGTAAAAAATACGGTACTAAATAGTCTAGGAAGGTAATAGGTCCTTATGAAAGTTTAGTATCGCAACAGTAAATCCAACCAAAGTTGAGATATTTTTCAGACCCTTATCCCAAAAATTTACCTTATAAGTATAATATAATTTTTTATAGAAAGAATTTGAGTAAATCCCCTCCACCCCCTAGATCCGCCCCTATTCTCAACCATAAGATTGTTACGAAATAAGAATTGGAAAATTTACTCGTATGTACGATATATTTATTATTTGTAGTTATAATTTTATAAAATTGTATTTTATAATTTACTCCATTTTCTCTAGTTTAAATTGTGATTACCCAAAATACCAATTAGTTTAACCATTGATAGATTTTATTAATGAGAATGTTTCACCATAGACTGTTATTATTTCTGTAGTTCCACCTTAGGGTGTACAAAATCGAACCGAGAATCGAACCAAACCGCAAACCGAGTCAACCCGGAAAAAAAACCCGACTAGTGGTTTGGTTTGACTTGGTTTGGTTTTGAAAAAAAAAACCCGACTATATTTGGGTTGGTTTGGTTTTAACTAAAAAAAACCAACCCGAGATCAAACCAACCCGAATTTATATATATAATTTTAAAATTTTATTTTATACATAAAAATATTTACTTTGATATAATTTTTAAATATTTCTTATACTTTTCCATAGTTTTTAATATTTAATATATTATTTCAAGTTTGAAACTTAGAATTATGAATGGG